CCGATGTTGCACGGTTCCTCTAAATGATAAAGTACCTATAAAGCACCTTCTGATAACCTAGATTACTAATTACGAGGTATTAATGCGCATATTAGTTAAATTTTACGATTAACGGAGTTACGTAGTAAATACTACCACGTGAACCATGCAACACTTGCTAATTGCCACCAAATTTCTATCAGGCCGCTAGCATTTCCCTAAATCACGTAACCTCCTATCGCCCCCCCTCTTTTTCGCCAAAGTAACAGTACCGGTATGTCGGCCCCGAATACACATCCATTGTACAACTACCACAAATTGATTCGATCGCGCCCGTCTAGTCACATCCATTTCCTCGTCAACCCGGTTATTTCGCACATAATAAACTTGTAAAAACAAGACATATTACAGAAATACAGTGTAGTTCTAAAGCCTGCAAAAAATGGAGTAAAGTTATTTTATTATGCACACACATACACAGCAGTATCCATCTTCAATAGCACAAGATGACAAGATGAGAAAACTGGGATAGTCACAGAATGCATGGCACAGTAAATCTACGACACAAGTGAGAGCACAAAATATCGCCTACGCTACGCTACAGGGTACACAAGCAGGGGAAGGAATAACTTAGCACGGGCAATGTTTAGGCTTCTAGTAGGCGTGGTTGGCGACGAACAGAGACTGGGCGGCGGCCGCGTCTCCGGCCTCGTCCCCGGTGTACTTACCGACGGAGGCGAGCGAGTTGACGCGGGCACGGTTGAGCAGCACTTCCTGAACAAAAAAGATATAATTTTGTAGGAAAAAGCCCCTTTCGATTATTTTAGTGCACTGACAAAACCTAGAGGCTTTTCCTAAAAATCCAGGCATTCCTGTTATTAGAGTAGCCAGTTGTTTGATAGCATTTTCGGTAAAATCAGCTAGAATTGAAGCGGAACAACAATTCAGTTATCTTTAAAGGGATAACGACGGCATAAGTAATCGGAGACGCGAGGGAAGAAAATGTCTCTGCGCCTCGCCCTTGGGCGCGCTCTCTGGCCTGTTGACTACGTGCCAAAAAGTCGATCAGGGGTGATCGACCGATGCTGTCGGTATCCCTTTAAAAAGCTTGAAATTCCAGTTTGGTCGAAAAACCGATTTGTTTTCGTTTTTAATGAAAGCTGGTAACGTTGATACGTTTCGGGATAGTAAAAGCCATGCTCGAAACATTTTTTATATCGACTAGAAAAATGGCTTAAAGAAAACCTTCCCGATGTAAATACTAAAAAAACCAGATTTCATCGTCCTAAAATAAGTTCTAAATAATTACCTGAGCGGCGGCCACATTTTCATCTTTGCCGGCCCACTTGGCGATCACCGACGCCTGGAGGGCACGTCCGTAAGAGAAGGTCAACGCCCACGGTTTCTTGCCGGCGGCCTAAAAACAAATCAAAACCGATTGGCGAAAAATACCTTGTTGATCTCGTTGAGGTTGCGGGTAGCCTCCTCCTCACTCTGCCCTCCCGACAGGAAGACGACGCCGGGAACAGCGACCGGGACCTGAAAATCACAATAATCCACGAAAAAATAAAAAAGTATACCGTTCGCTGGAGAGCGGTCACGGTGGCGAGACCAATATCGGCGTTGCTGGGCTTGTTGGAGGCGGACATACCTAAAAACTTGGGCATCAAATAAGGCCCAAAAACTAACCGGCGGTGACCATGTTCGGCTTGAGCAGCGTGCCCTCCAGGAAGACGTTGTGCTCGTTGAGGGCGCGGTAAGTGTAGGAGAGGACAATCTCGGTCACCTTCTGGCACCAGGCAAGGTCGTGCTCGCCGTCGCACAGCGTCTCCGGCTCGACGATCGGGACGAGGCCGTTCTGCTGGCAGATCGAGGCGTAACGGGCGAGAACCTGGAAAAGCAAACGTAGGAGATAGCAGACAAATCGGGCAAAAGAAGTCAAGACATACCTGAGCGACTTCAACGAGAGCATGGTGCGAGGGAGTGGTGCCGGAGATCTTATGAACGCAGCGCCATTTGGCGAACTGGGCGCCGTCCTTCTTGTACTGGGCACAGCGCGCGTTCAGGTCGTCGAGGCCCTGGGTGGTGCCTTCGCCATTGGTGCCGGCCAGCGGGATGACGCCCTTGTCGACCTGAAAAGAGGAAATTGCGAGGGAAATTAAACTTGTCTGAAAAGAGGAAACCCAGATCTTCCTAGTAAAGTCTTTGAAAAGAACCCAAAAGCTATTTAGAAAACGCGGAAACTGAAGAAAACCAGTCCAGATATTGCCAGTGATTAGATAGATTAGAATAGTTTTCAAAGTTTAGTTTTCATAGAATTGAGCTATATTTAAAAGCAAAAAACCTTTAGAAAACTCGAAAAACGCAAACAGATATTTCCAGTAGTGTAATAAAAACTGTTTTAAACATTTTTTATAGAACTTAGCTATATTTTAAGCCAAAAATCGAAAAAACAAACTTCCCAAATTCTGTAAATAACTAAAAATGCTGACGTCTTACGATCCAATACAAAAACGACGTGCAATCCCCACGTTTGCGAAACACCCTTTTTTCACTTCAACATTTCCGAAACAAAAAGCCAGTAAGAGAGAAAATACAAAACAAACTGTTTACCTTGATGCCGGGGATGATGCCCTTCTTCTTCAGCACATCGATGAACGTGGTGCCGCAGTCGGCCTTCTGGTAGAACGTCTCGTGGAACATGATGACGCCAGAGATGTGCTTGGCGAGCTCATCACTAAAAGCAAACAATTATCTAGCCGAGGATCAAAACAGTGCCTTCCGGTGAAGAGCGTCTGGCGGTACTTCCTGCGGTTCTCCTCGTTGTTCTCGAGGCCGATCGACGCCAGGCGCTTCTCCATCGAGCCGGTCGACTCATCGGCGGCCAAGATTCCCTTGCCCGGGGCAACGATAGCCTGGAAATGAAAATGGAGTTTTCGAAGGATCCTAGAGACCACTCTAATTCAAATCCTAATAGAAAAATCTAAAAATGACTTTTCTCACATTTGTAACCAAAAAGGCACTATTTTGGAACGGCTTCATATTTTTATGGCGCTTCTGAACTTAAAAATGGAATAAAATGTTATAAAATAGGGATCTTATTGGGACCAAGGCATCGCTAGGCCAAAGTTAGCTCCCCCGCTAACAGTCCAGTACTCCGATTTGTACCATGAAAAGTACTACGGAAATCGTCATTTTCTTCATGGTTGATCCACCCCGGGTCCAAAAAAATTTCCCATCCTCTCACTAGCCCGGGTTGTTTGTCTATTGCCAGCCAAGGATTTAGAGTCGGCCGTTGAACGCGCCTGGGCCCTCAGACACATCGATCCAACACCCGAAGGCCAACTGACCAAGTGGCCTCCTCCTGTGATAACCCCCCAACAAACGGCAAATCGGATTAGCCGGGCCAGTCAAACGAAATAAAACGCAAAAATCGCTCACGTTGGCAATCTGGCGGAGCTCGTCCTCCTTCTCCTTGCTCAGGTACTGGGCGTAGGGCGACGACATTTTGTTACCTGGAAAAGAATAGTGTGTTGAAAGCCATAACAGACGAAAAAAAAACATAGATAGAAAACGATAAGAAAGCTACCAAAGATGGAAAGAAGGGACGGAAGGGCGGTATGGACACGAATTTCTAAATAGAAACGTCTAAATCAGGCAAAGAACGCGGAAAAAAGACCTTTTGACATTGTTAAAGGGAGACCATGTAAATACTAGAAAGTTTGAAACGAGTGTAACGTCGAAAACCTCCAAAGGAAAGGAAAGTGGCTAATACAAACTTGCGAATTAAATGAGGTAAACTCAAGGCGGAAAAGCTCCGATATTTCTGAACCTAATAAAAATCTAAAAGGCGCAAAAGATTCGAGAAAACCGTGTCTACAAGGTGGAAAAAGTTCCTCAAAAACTAGCCGAGACCTCTAGGAGGAAATGATATTTTGGGGCACATCTCAGGGGGCCTTACCCAGTCGGTTCAGCGAATCGAAGTGGCCAGCCGGGGGCACGGCTGTCCAGGGCCCGGGCGGAGGGACCAGAGAAAGACAGCAAAAGCCCCGAAAAAAATAGACGTCCGCTCCCCCAGCACCGACCATTCGCGGGGCATAACAAGCAAAGGCGAGATGTGCCTAGGACAAGGATACGTGGATTTCACGTGAAGTGGGGGTAGCAGTGAATTGAAAATACGGGGAAATGACAGAAAGATGCCACAGAAAGCCCATGTTGTAATTTTATCGGGATTTCCCAAAAAAATTTTAAAAGAAGGATGTAATGAAGAAAGCTAATAAGAAAAGGGATAACCTGCTTCTAACTTATAGCTATAATAAATAATAAATTGATTTGTAAGACACAAAGCTCAATCGCTAACACAAAAATTAGCTAAAAATGGCAAAAATGAGAGGTAAAAGCCAATTACTAAGCGAAAATTGAATAACGGATCAAGAAATGGCAATTTCTGCTAAGCAAGCTAAGGGAACTGCAAGCAAGGGTGTCAGAATGACTGAGAAAACGAATGGAATCATGATGCAAGATCAAAAAAAGGCCGCCGGCGGCGAGCTCGGCCCCAGAATAAGGTGACGAAATTGGCGGAGAATGTTGAAATTGTATAATCTAACGCGAGTAGACACGCGAGTAGACACGAAATTTTTTCAAAGAATTTCTTCTGAAAAGACGAAAGGCAAAACATGAAAATCCCGAGTTGGAAGCTCCTCTTGGCGCCTATCGACGGTCGAATTTGAGCAGGTGTGGTTTAGGGATAAGGACCCTTCCAGGCCGGCCCTTTCCAAAAAAAAAGGACTGCGATTGCAATTGCGCGGATCCACGATATAGCACAGTTTATTCAGGCAAAACATTCAGGCACACACACAAAAATTGACAGGCGATGAATCTGATACCGGCGTTGCCTTGTCCGTGGCTACATCATTTTTCTGCAAGTATCTGGAACATGAAGATTCTTTATTTTAGGTTCTGCTCGTACCAGTATACGATGAGACTTTGCACGATTCATATCTCTGCTTCTTCTCCCATTAGTCCTGAAAAGCGGCATTGTCTTAAAAATTGGTGAGGGCTGTCACGGGGGCCGGAAAATGTGTGGGTTTACGTTTTCAAGAAAAAAAAATCAAGCTTTGTACGCACCCGCGCCAATTTCTGCGGCAATTCTGGTGGGACCGCCGAGAAGATCTGCTGCACTGCCCATCGAAGCGCATCCGCCACGAAAACAAAGGCTATGGCAGAGCAGAGGCGCAGCGCCGTGTTGTGCCACCTGTCAGCAACAGAAAATAGTTTTAAAAAATATCCGAATCTTTGAGTTTGCACACAACATACCAGGTGTCGGAGAACTCGATATTCGGGCCTAGTACACATTCGGCGTTCGTACCATTGGCGCAGTGTGGTTTGTTGTGACCATAATACCTGAAGAACATCCAACATTGTAAACAGAAGATTTCATAATTACCTGCAAGTTGCTGGGATCAGTTCAGGAAAGCCGTCGACACGATTGAGGCTTTGGTTGAAGAATTCGGACGCATACATGATTGATGGCGAGAAAGATGGCAGGAAACGAGTGTCGAAGATGGAATGTGATATATTGGCGTATCTGTTGGATAAGTTCGATGTGATAAATTGTTGTATTACCCGCCCAGGGACCCGCTTCGAACACGCCACATCATAAGGGGCACGAATTCAGAAGTGAAGGCGACGAGCAGGGCCTAAATAAACCTTAGATCCATTTCTTTGTTCATGAGCTTCAAGCCGAATTACTCACATTTACATAGATCGATAGCTGAACGATGATTTCGATGACTTCTGTCCAGATCCCAATGCTTTCGACCTCTTCGGCCACGGAGCGCTGCTTCCAAAGGAGAAACTAAATCGGGTAGATTTTGGTGATTGCGTTTTGCGATACCAGGCGGGCGTCGGAGCGGATCTCAAAGAGGTTATTGAAGAAAGCAAAAACGGCGGCAGGAGGGAACGCTACGGAGAAAAGGGCAAGACTGGCAAACTGCGACACTGAAAATCGTTGTTGCGATGATAAGAACAGGAACAATTCACCCAATTCTGCGTACTCATAACATAGAAAATGCGGTTCATTGGCACCAAGGTAGAAGTCCGATTCCCATTGTGGGGCCTATATTGGAAGCTTGAGTTGTGCTTTTTTTCTCACCTTATTATCATCGGTTAACCGTTCGTAGGGAATCATTTCTCCATTCATTTGCCGGTTGCGTGACCAATGAGTGAAGCCTGTGCGAAAATTTTTGAAGGCGCGCTGGAGCAACCTAGAATTGCGAATTTTTAGGCATGTGTTTGAAAACCTACGGGGAACAGGCTTTCTTGATGCGCTTCGCAAACTGTGCCCCGGTGAACATCGTCGCGACCTGGACTCCAAATTCTGAAAGAAAGGCTGGGTCGTGTAACCTGTAAGGAGAGTTCTGCAAAACAATTAGTTGAGCAGTGATGCAAGTTTGGCGCAAGCTTTGACCACTGATGTCCGAATCTATTAAATAGGAATATAAATATAATAGGTTTGTAAGCTCACGTCGGGTTCAAAAAGGCGAGGAAAAACAGCGAAGCATGGACGCTGACAAATTCAGCAACAACGATTTTTATGATGAAGGAATTGTCGAAATCGCGCTGAAATAAGGCTAAAATCTGGTTCCAGGAGAGCATACTTGTGTGCGCTGGTCTTCCCATCTCACAATAAACGCGGCGAGCCTTTTGTAGAACTGAACCTAATTAGTTAAGGATACTGAGTCACCCACTGAATTGAAGACTAGACTGAAGAGCAGGTGCACCATTGCGCTCAGCGTTGGGGTCAGTAAAGACCTTAGCGGTCCCAAGATGGGAATTTCGTTTATAACGAGTATGACGGTTTCCTGAATCACTTTTGTCCTACTTTTTGGTACCCACTTCTATATATCCGCGAAGCACATTATGCAACAGGAAAGCCGCAATGATGTAGCAAGCGACTCCTAGTACGAGGCAGGTGTTGACCACACCGTTCATAGCGGCCTTGTGCGGCGGCCAGCAAGGTTCAAATTTTCCTGTCACCGAGTTCTTGCGCGTCTTTCGCATTCTTTTCCGAAAATCGAAACGGATTGTCTAAAATTTTGGATAGAAACAGGCTGCCGTTTACGTGTTCCGCAGTGGTTGCATCCAAGCCCCATCGATTTGAAAGCCAGGCTTGTCTGCGCTTCCACGTCTGCAGGAAGGCCTGGACACGCAAAGAAATATTATCGAAAATATTATTTCTAGCACCTGGGCCCAGACTGTGATGCACATGCCGACCACCATCGTACCCCATTGATCGAAAAAGTAGCTGATCTGGATGGTGAATTTTAGAGGTTGAAAAAAACATTAATGAAAAACCTGTGTCATTACACACTCGTCTGCCCATCGCCGAAAGTCACAAAATCTGTTGCACCTTGGACATAATAGAGTTGAATGGTCGCTGCATATCTCGCGACTGGAAATCTGGGTGTTTGTTTGCAACTTGTAAAAACTACATCGTTGTCTGCTTCTCGTTGAAGAGCATGGCGAGGACGAAAATCAGCCACACAATCCCGAAGCACCCGGCTATTCCGAACATCCGCGTAGTCGTTTCCAGGAACGCAAAGTAGATAGCAATCTTGGTCCCGAAATAGCGTCTGGAACATTCGTAATTTGTGACTTTAAAAACTTACTTGATCGAATCGATTGGTTGTCCTTTTCGCATCGCTGAAAACGTCGCCCAGTGTTTCATGAGCAGCTCGCGCCTGTTCAGCGCCTCATCGGAGGTTGCGTTGAGCTCAACTTCCGCTCGTGCGGACTAGAAAAAAACGTCATTCCTATATGAATTGGCTCTGTGTTCATATTGATTGCTGCAAACGTACTTCGTGGAGTGGGTAGGCAGAGATAAAGACATTAGCATTGATGAGCCACTCGATCCCTGATTTTTCCGAGTCGTCGTGGCCGTAAGGAGTTTCCTATGAAATTCGCATTATTGTAGAGGGACCCTAGAGGAAGCCGGAGGGGAACACCAAAAGGAGACCCGGTCGGCCTTATCAGCCGGCAGGGCTCCCCAAAAAGTCAGTCGTAGGAAAAGCGGGCTGGCGTAAGCCGGCTCCGAGTTTCTTAGGCTCATGGATATTCGTTCCCCCCTTCCCCCCGGTCGCCTCCCGGGCCCCGCCTTTAATGCGTGATGTTTTAAGTGTAGGATAAAACCCTAGTGTTCCTACTAGCCTCTAAATCGCTCCTGAGCCCCAACAAATCACACAAGTCAGTTGGGGGCCATAATACAAAGTAATACATTGGGGGAGAATGAGCTTAGCGCGATCTAAGGGAGCGCTAAGGGAAAAGAAGATAAGGGCACCACGGAACCAGATCGTGTACTATGTAAGGGGAAAACGTAGAATACGACAGTGGAGGTCCCGGTCTTTGGATACCGTCAAAATTCTAAACAATTTTTTACTATAATCTATTATTCACAAAATTTATAAATTTTTCGCCCACCTAAAATTCATCCCCTATCTTCTTTTCCTGTCCATTTATTTTTCTATTAATTTTTTGTCCCTACTAAGAATCCGGTGATGGTATTTTCGTCGGGCCCGCAAAATTTAAATGGAGGTTCCCCCCATTTCAAGCATGCATAGGGAAATTGATTGCGTTTTGAATGTGCCCCAAATCAGCAAAATTTCCTAGCTGCTTCCATATATGCATATTTTTAATCAGGAGCGCCATCACGAACCTGGAGTTTTCTTTTGTAAATTCATATTCAGCAGAGGCACTGGCCAGTTAATTTAAAAAACGGGGGCTGGCCACTTCGACTCCCAGGGGACGGTTCAACCGGATGAAGGCTTATTTTCTTAAGGGACCGATTTGATTTTTCCTTTCCTTTTGCTCAACATTTTGTTCGGATCTTTTCAGGGCTTTAAAATTCTGAAATTGTTAATTAGGAGGCAATCGATACTATCAGGGACCTTTGGCCCCATAGCCCCTCACCCCATCCATTTACAGCCAGCCCAGGCTAGGCAGGGGGAGCTATCGGCCGAAGCGCGTTTTTTTACAACCACCACCTTGAAGCCGTAGGAGATTGGCCCGCACATCCATTTCCCCTCCGAACGGAACAATACTGCTATTCCTGAAGTGCGCCGAACAAGAAAGCGGATCTCGTGGGTTTTTTCTTGCTTTCTGCAGAAGCGGGGAATTTCGCCTAGCGGAGCCGCAAGCAAAGGGCTTGGGGTAAAGCAAATCGCGAATTTTTTTTAATTTTTTTTATATATATTTTACGGGATTTTATTTTTTTTTAAATACATTTTTTTTAAATTCAAACAATTTTTTTATTCTCGCCGTTCATTTCTTTTTTTTTAACAACCCCCGAAGCCAATTCCCACCCAAAATTTTTTTCCCGAATTACGTGTGCAGCATATTTTTGAAAAGAATAAAAAATGGCAGATCAGGAGGGCGAGCCGATCGTGGCCGAGGCCGCACCGATTGTGGCAGCGCCGGCCGACTACAAGGCGGCAAACCGGCTTGCGGAACAGGTCACCCCGTTCCAAGGAGACACGGATTCCAGAACTATTTTAGAATTCTTGCGCCAGATCACCGAAACTGCGGACAATCTGGGAGTCTCTCCAGTGGCAAGACAGATAGCCTTGCCCCGATTGCTCGGTCCCTCAGCAAAAGCGGCCTGGGATATGGTGCGGCCAAGAACTATGGAAACGCTGATAGCTATTTTCAGCACCCCGGCGAAACGTGCAGATCAATTATCAAAACTTCACACGGCACATCAAGAGCCAAAGGAAACTGTATTTGAATTTGCCGTACGAATGCGGAAAATTGCGGATGAGATCGACCCGGCCCTCGCGGAGAGGGAGATGCAGCATGCGCTTCGAGAACGTTTGCGGCCAAACATAATTCGTCAAATGCGCAAAAATGACGATTTCCTCCGCCTCACCTCGCACGAGCTTATCCTGTTAGCCCGAGAAGCTGAGACCCGGCAGCGGACAAAGGACACGGAGCGCCTCCTCAATCTCGACGATTTAAAGGAAGTGGTTGCGGCGGTGGCAGCAGAATGGGAACGGCCCACGCAACCGAGGAATACAGTGAGCTGCAACCATCACCACTGCCCAGGGATCACAAGGACAAGTCCGCAACTACAACGGCCACCAGCATCACCAACGAGGCAACTCGCATCGAGGAAACGGAGGCCAAGGAAATCACCAACATCGGCGCGAAAATGCAAATTGGCATAACCCGAGACAGCAGCAGCACCACGCCATGCCGTACATGGAACAGATAAACCGAGGACGTGGAGGACGTGGCGGCCGTGGAGGACGTGGAGGACGTGGAGCTCGGAGAGGCGGACCACCAGCAAATGGTCCCACGGGAGTCAACGCGATCTCACTTGGACAACCTGGAACCTCAGGGACCTCGGCGCCTGCGACATCATGGCTATCCCTCTTGGGGTTGTGCGCCATAATCAGCCTCGCAATCCCAACCGCGGCAGCGACCAACTCCTCCGCATGGCCATTTTTGTACTGTCCAGCACAACCAACCAACCGCCTACTCGCACTACCAGAAACAATCAACTGCCTCCGTTCCGACAAAATCGACGCACCCACCGAAGACCCCTTAACCGCCAGAATCGAAATCTCGCTCTGGAAAGAGGGAATTCCGACAAGGACCTTCAAGGCGGCCTTATGTCGCAAGGAAATCATCCAAACTTGCAAGTTTATTTGGAGTCCCAATCTAGTACACACCAAGACAGTGACTCCGACGGAACGAGAATGCCGAGAAAACTTCGACAAGGCCACCAAAGCCGAAAGCGGATGGCAAAGAATTGGCAGTAATCAATACGTCGAGGAGAATAGGCCCGAACCAAAAGGAACACTGAAGAAGTGCTCGAATGTAAGCAACCATCAGTTGTGGGAAGGCACGGTGCAGATTGCAGGCGAAGGATCCGCGTCGTCAAACCTTTCGGCCACATTAAACAAGTGTCAGCTCGATCAACAATTCTGCGACGCTGATTCCGCGGTATTGATTTGGAAAGGGGAACCGGTAGCAACAGAAGGTTATCGGCGCGAGCGGACTTGGCAGGGACTAGCATTCCTCACGGAGATGGAATTGCTGATACCCGAAGAGAAGTCCCTGATCAAATTTGATCCCGACCTCCCGACTGTAGGGATGGAAGGGCCAGAAGCTGTTTTCCGCACAAACGACCAAACCGTGTTCTTTTCGTTGCAGACAGATGCCCCGACAATCCGTGCACATTTCCGGGACAACCCGTCAAGGATCACAGACGAGAATCTGCAGCGGGCGCAATTGAAAGCAGCACCGGGCAAGATCGCCCTGGTCGACCCGGAGACGAGAGAGGTCTATTCGGCAACGGCCAAGGAAGCAGCGTCGAGAGCACCAAGCAGAGTTCGACGAGGAGCAACAGCAACTTGGCAGACAGCTGAAGAATTGGACAATATCTTCCATACGCTGGTTTGGCCGAGCAACGCCCGTCGATTCCCTCGTCAACCAGGAGCTCAAAGGTTCAACAATCTCGACTACTTGTCGGTTGCTATCCAGCGGCAGGTCAATGAACAACGAGAGCACCACTACCAAACCTGGTGCGAAGACCAAAATAAGCTGAGCCAACTCGTCCGCGCTTTAGCCCGAACAGATCCGACGGCAGCAGCGCAAATGATACTCAAGACTGAGGCGGTGTCTGCTCGCTGGGCAGGAGATGTGCTCGAAGTTTCGGAATGCATAATCCTTCACAATGCGACATTTCACCCGAAACGAGAACTCAACGGAATTTGCTATGAGGAGTTGATAATCGGTGTCGCGGGCCAGACCTATTTCGTCGCGTCCGGGAGCAGAAGGCTGACTCGGACAGGGACACCTGTCCCCTGCCGACAACAAAGTCCTTTGGTACTCTATACTCCCGACGGACAGTACCTCAGACTCTCCGAAAGCGGCGAGCTATTTCCCGTCCATCCCGAGCTGGCGAAACAAGAAGCATTCCCTGAAGCATCGGCCCAATGGAGGCTTGATCAACTGAACTTCACAGAGCCGAATGGAACATTGGCCGAGCCTTTGCCCGAACCAGCTAGCCTCGCCGCTCTTCAAGAACGGATCAATGCCCTGGAGACAGCAGCGAGCTATTACGCCGGGTTATTGGGAGCGAAGTCAGTCGGAGATTTGTGGGAGGAGAGCAAAGCCCCAAAGACCAATGAGACAATTGAAGAGTCCTCCTGGTGGGACAAATCCATCTTTCGGATTAATCAGAATTTGAAATCGGTCTGGTCTGGAGTCGGTGATGCCGGGAGCAACTTGGCAGAACGAGCAGAAGGAGTAGTCGAACGATACTACCAAAAATTGAGCTCAACAATTTTGTCATTTTTATTGTGGATTACATTGCCGATTATCGTCATCCTCCTCCTCGGAGTTGGAATTTGGTTTGGAGTGAAGTGTGGATGGTCCCACTATCAAAACAAGCGACAAGCAACGGCACTCGCACGAGCCATCAAGGAGCTGGAGAAGCCCAAGGAAAAGTTGGAGCTCAAAAAATTGCTCCCACCACCACGACCGCCTCCGCCGGTGTTGGCAATAGAGAGCGAGATATCCGCACAGCCGGTATTTAGCTTCGACGGCCTTCAGACCAGAAAGGGCGTCTATCGACCACTGGGAGCAGGATTCTTTCCAGGAAGTCAACGCCATTTCCTCAACAGCAAAGGAGACACCGTATATACAAGCATTTCTGGCCGCGATGCCGGTAATAGCTCTTGTTGACACAGGATCTGCCATCACCTATGTACGGCGGAGTGTGGTTGCGGAAATGATGCGCCGAGGAGAGCAGCCGATACTCCAGAAACCGAGTCGAGCCACTGGACAGTCAGCGTCGGGACACGCAATCCCATGGCTTGGTCGTTTCACGGCGATTGTCACGACTGGAGCAGTTTCAACCTCGGTTGAAATTCACATCGCCGACGACCAGCACGGACCGGTACCCTTGCTTATAGGCCGCGACTGGAAGGATGCCATGTACGCCCAACACGGACACGAACTGGTTTTCGGCCCTGGATACATGCGCATCGGCCGCTCGAAAATCGACTGCTTAACTCGAGACACTACAGGCATGGATGCCAGCCCAACGTTTCAAATCCGTGCCGCGGAAGAAATCAAATTGCAACCCAGATCCTACCAAGTCCACGAGGCCAACATCGACAAAACTATTCCCTTTAATTGGTCTCTGATGGTGGACAAAGAAGACGATCGCACCAACTTGGACGCAAAGGGAGTCGACATTGTGCCACTCGTTGTTCGACCTCGAGCAGGCCGGATTATGGTAGTTTTGGTCAACGATACGGATGCTGAAGTGAAGGTTTATCACCGCCAACCGATTGCGGCAGCCAAACGATTTGCAGGAGAAAGTATTTGTCATTTATTGACAGCCCACGATGCGGAAGGATCATGGGCACCGAAGCCGGCACTTCCAGATGCTAATGATGTTGAGCCGTTCGAGCCCAAGCTGGAGATGTTCAGGAACAGCGCTTTGAACAGAGAGGAGAAGCAAAAGCTGCTCGCCGTGTTGCAAAAGAACAAGAAAGCTTTTCTTGGAGGAACAGACTCCAGTACCGGTTTGTTCACTGGAAAGACGGAGCATGAAATCCCCACCGAACCAGCAGTGAAGCCGATCCGAGGGCGACCCAACCGACTCCCACTGGCCAAAGCAGAAGCATTTGAGCGGCAAGTGGAAGCACTACTCCGCGAAGGGAAGATTGAACCAGGCAACGGAAACTGGACGAGCCCAGTTTGTTTGGTCAAGAAGCCCTCAGGAGCCTACCGGATGACAATGGACTTCAGGCAACTGAACAGCATCACTACACCAGCGGTCAGCGTCATTCCACGTATTGACGATATATGTGATCGCATGGCCGGAAGGTTGTTCTACACCTCTGTGGATTTGTGCTCCGGATACCACCAAGTTCGCTTAAAAGAGGCCGACAGGTACAAGACCGGATTTGTCGTTCGAGACCGCCTGTACCAGTTCTGCGTCATGGCCCAAGGACTGACGGGCGCACCAAATACATTTACCAAGGTCTTGAAAGAAGTCTTGGAAGCGGGTAGGCCACTTGCAGACGTGGTTTTCTACATGGACGATCTACTGGTCGCTTCCACAAACCTACACGAGCACCTCGCACAACTTGACGAATTGCTGGGCCGAATCATTCAATTTGGGTTAAAGATCGATCCCAAGAAATGCTACTGGGCCCAGTCGAAAGTGCGTTTCCTTGGATTCGTGCTTAGCAAACAAGGTATCGAAGCTGATCCGGAAAAAGTTCGGGCGATGAAGGAGTATCCAGTCCCCAAGAACAAGAAGGAAATGCAAACCTTCATCGGCTGCGCCAACTGGCTCAGACGTTTTATTCGCAACTTCAGCATTCGAGCCAAGCCCTTGTACGACACTCTGAAGGAGAACCGAGTCTTCCTGTGGGGAGAGGAAGAGCAGAAAGCATTCGATGACTTGAGAACCGCACTATCGAGCCCTCCAGTCCTGCGAAACCCGGATTTTTCACGTCCATTCGAAATCTATTCGGATGCGTCAAATGAAGGACTCGGAGCTGTGCTGATCCAGAACCAAGACGGTGGTAAGGCACCGATCGCATTTGCTTCGCGTACTCTTACAAAGAGCGAAAAGAACTATTCCACGTATGAAAAAGAAGCAAACGCGTTGGTTTTGGGCTCAAAAAGCTTTCACAGCTATATCGTCGGCAAAGCGGTAACATGTTGGGTAGATCATGCCCCTTTAAAGGCACTACTCGGAAGTACCGAGGTGCAGGGCAGGATCGGGCGATATCAACTCTTATTGCAGGAGTACAACCCCAGCATCGAGTACTACCCAGGAGCCTGGAACAAGGTTGCGGATTCCCTCTCACGACACATTGCGGTTGTCGACGCGCCAACCGATGAAGAATTTCTTCCACTGCTGCAGAAACTGAAGGCAGTGCAGAACCCCGGAAAGGAGTTCCCGGAGCCGATTGTGATCAAAGAAGGTCTACCCCGCACAGAAAATGGGAGACTAGCGATTCCAGCAGAATTAGCCAAGGAGTTCATCGAATATTTCCACAACTCCCCAACACACGGTGCTCATCTTGGAGAAAAGAGGATCATCCGAGGAATCACAAAGCGCTGGCGCATCAACGGCACAGCGAAACTAGTACGACAGGTGGTTTCTCACTGTCGAAGATGCCAGGAGCGGAAATCCCCTCCAGCTCTTCTGCAGACAGCAGATCTTGGCGAGGTGAAGTTACACTCAGCGCCAATGGAGCACCTGCACTTGGACCACTTGGGTCCCTACCCTCAATCGAGCAGAGGGAACCGATATGTGCTCGTGATTATCGATCAATTCTCAAGATTTTCTTGGAGTCTGTGCACACCCGATCAAAGGCCAGAAAATTTCCTCGACCGATTGATGGACATCTTTTACACCTTCGGCATGCCCAGTTCGATAGCCAGTGATGGTGGACCGGTGTTCCGAAGCGGCCTTTTCAAGGACACGCTCCACAGTCTAGGTGTAAAACACATCACTAGCACACCAGGACACCATGAAAGCCAAGGCACCGTCGAACGATCAAATCGCACAATCGGCGACTCTATTGCGATCCTGACGAGACAACATCAAGAATGGGATGCACATGTTCCAGCGATCATGTTGGCGTTGAATAGCACCGTCCACCGGGAGCTAAATGAATCCCCAGCGTACATCATGTTGGGAAGAGATCCACGCCTTCCTTTGGACAACCATTCAGGGATGCCGAATTTCGCCACGCTCGCCGGCGTAGAGGATCGTCGCCAAGAATTAGCACGTATTCACAATTCAACTTGGAAAGTAGTTTCTGAGCGGCTCGAGGAAGCCCGGCTCCGAAACCAAGAAGAATACAATGCACGTCACCACACCAAGCCCAAGAAGTTGGAAGTCGGAGATTTGGTGATGGTACGCACCCCCGTGCCTCCCATGCAGTCAAGCAAACTGCATTGTCCGTGGAAAGGACCATTCCGTGTCAAGGAAATGAGGAGGCCGAATCTTGTTATTCAAGCTCTAAACGGAGGGAAGCTCAAGACGTTGCATTTGAATCAAGTGAAGCACTATAAGGCGAGTGATCCAGGTCTACCACCCCTGCGTCGGCAGGACGAGGAACAGAACAACGGCCAAGCCGAAGTTCGAGATGACAATGTCCATCAAGGCCAAGATAATGAGCGACTCGAAGCTGAACAAGCCTCGGAAACTATAGCCGCAGAGCCAGAACGACGCTCAAGGCGTCTTCGAGGGCTCCAACCATGATTCAGAAATATGCACCACGTAATCTAGATTCCAGTTTTTCGTTTTCAAAAACCTTTTTCACATCCTTCTTTCGCAAAATCAAGAAAAACTGGAACCCCAAAATTCTCTATGAATTGGCTTCGGTTACCTAAAACAGTAGTTTTTTTTATGTCAAAAATATGGTAGTTAGATGGGGATAAAGGGCTGGGGCAACTTTGTTTAGACCACAATCTCGCGAGAAGATGCGATGTGCCGTCGACCGATCCAATGTGGGCCATATGCCACCAAGCCGAAATCCCTCGTCTACCTACATTTTTCTAAAACCGCTACAGTCCCCCACCCCTTTTCGTAAAACCTAACCCGCTAACCCTTTCAGACCACTTTTTGTTTTCGAAATATTTTTGTCTAAATTCATGGTCAACTCGTTTGTATCTTTGTTTTGCGTTGCGGGACGCAACTTTCGCAAGGGGGGACATGTAGAGGGACCCTAGAGGAAGCCGGAGGGGAACACCAAAAGGAGACCCGGTCGGCCTTATCAGCCGGCAGGGCTCCCCAAAAAGTCAGTCGTAGGAAAAGCGGGCTGGCGTAAGCCGGCTCCGAGTTTCTTAGGCTCATGGATATTCGTTCCCCCCTTCCCCCCGGTCGCCTCCCGGGCCCCGCCTTTAATGCGTGATGTTTTAAGTGTAGGATAAAACCCTAGTGTTCCTACTAGCCTCTAAATCGCTCCTGAGCCCCAACAAATCACACAAGTCAGTTGGGGGCCATAATACAAAGTAATACATTGGGGGAGAATGAGCTTAGCGCGATCTAAGGGAGCGCTAAGGGAAAAGAAGATAAGGGCACCACGGAACCAGATCGTGTACTATGTAAGGGGAAAACGTAGAATACGACATTATTATCCTAACGATTACTCACCTGCAAAATTTGGAAAGCGATTCGACCACGATCGGCAGTGGAAAATGGGTGATCGCCGGGCATATCACTACCATACCTAAGTCAAATAAACTTTTTTTTACATTTTCCAGCACTTTTCCGGCTGGCCGCGCTTGTATGGTTCGTATTGGCAGGATGTCATATCGCCACGAGCGCGCTAAAGTGAATTTGAGCTATACCCTCATCTAAGCAGACCTCATGACCCGAAAGCGATGTCTTTCGAAGGGGCACGGGAAGGCGCAATTTTTCGCCGTATTCCTCCAGCATCGGAGAGGGGATGCCGATCAACACATAACACATACCATTTGTCTAAAATATTGTGGAGTGTATAGTATTTGAGGATTTTATACCCTATCGGCCGGTACACGATCCACTTGAAGGCCTCGTTTCCTCAATTCGAGTACGTAACGGGAACGCTGGCGAGCGGGCTCTGCGTCTTCGCCGTCACCTTCTTGATAGACCAAGCAATAGTCCATCTGGAAAAGAATACGTCTGATTCTGATGTAACGAACGCTGTAACTGAGTAATGAATAATGAAGCTTTTTCCAGTCCCGCTCTCTAGGGATAGAGCGAAGATGATAACCTTGTTAGCACGTAAGGTCAATGCGTAAGGGCGCTTTGCACGTTAGAAAGGCATGGGTAGTAGTGCGCGTTTCGTGTTTCGCGACTAGCTAAAGCCACCGGAATTCCAGAGCCGGGATCAAAATATCGGCTAGGAGCTCAGCAGCATTTCATAGAAATCTTATTTCTCCTTGGTAGTTATGGAAAGCCCCACTATCGTGACGCCACCTAAAATTAACCCAGCCTTTTGGCCTGGCCAGGCAAAGCTAAAACTCGACTGATGACTACTAATTCCGCAATATCGTTACCCTACGGTGGGGAAATGTTGTCGCGCGGAATTTTCGTTTGGCAGCGCGACAAAAAACTTTTATAAATAGGTAAAAACTATTATAATTCGTTTAAAAGCGAAAAATATGCCGAAAGTTTTATTAGCCATGCCTGCGGCCGGGACCTGCCAGCTGGTTGCGCATCTGTAGCCATCTGCGCCATGCAAAACAAATTAACGCCCATTTTTGCGCATTCCCAATCAGTTTCGGGCGTTTATTCAGCCGTTCGAGAAATGTTTTTGTCTTATGGCGTCTTTAGGAAAGAACATTGATAATAATAACTAGTTTTCATCCTGTCTGTTCATTTCTCTGATTCAGATTTTTCTAAAAATTTGCATTAGTACTCTAACTCTTCTTTGCAGGCTGTTGTTTGGCGTCAACGCACAGAGCAGGCCCAAAATGGCCCTCAGAAGTCTCAAGTATGGTTCCATTAGAACTTCCCGACGTTTATTTAGTCACTATTGCAAAGTATTCGACATCGAAGGGGCTGACAGGCTGCAAATTGTGACACCGAAATTTGCCACCTACGGAAACGCACAGTGATATACATTTTTGTTATCAGAAACCTCGTAGAAAACGCTACTTTCCCGTCAATGTGCGATTCGATGGAGCTCAATGGGATGGAATGAGTGCCCGGCTGCGCTTCGAAGGCAGCTCGGCCCCGGAAGAGATTTTCAAGATTGTGTCGGAGGTGAGTACGCGCACCTGGGCGCATCTTTAATACTTGAAGTAAATTAGTCGCGGGAGCAGGAATATATGTACTGTGCTTGTTACAAAGAGCCTTTTTCCGGTTTTCTCGAGCAGGCGTGTAAAATACGTACAAATAGTTCCATTCAGTTTTGACAATAAGATGGTCGACGCTCTTGGTCATACGATTTCTCATTGTAAAACTAGCCATATAATAGTTATCCATATTGACGTTCATCTAACTTCAAACTGCATGACACGAAGTTTTTGACAAAAAATATATGGTAAAGCACTATTTTACAGAAGGATGAGAAGATCCGGCTCAGCTACCCCGGGAACAAGCCCCTTCTCTGCATCCGGCTTGAGGTGTTTGAGGGCACTACACGGCAGTTTGTTATATCGACGCAGAAAATTCACGTATGCCTTGTTTCTTGTATTTTTTGAGCATGCGGTTTCAAGTAGAAATCTTAGTGAACCTGTCCTAGTATCCCTTGTGTTTATCCCGGGCTGTGCTTGCCTCTACCACCCTTGTAGCGGGACCTGACGGGCAGGCGCGTAGGAGGGGGAGGGCAGAGGGCGCAGGCTGCCCCTCCCGAAATCCGGCGGTCCCGAAAAAAACGTAAGGGTCCCCCCTTATGATTTTTCTATTTCGATAACTTTTTCGTAAAAATTTTTCTCGCTGCCCCCTCCGAAATGTCGCTGCCCCTCCCGAAATTTGGGGTCAGCTACGCCCCTGCTGACGGGGCTTCCAGGCCGCGCAATGCCGGAAATGTGTGGAAGAAAAGTGGCTAAGCTTTCGCTTATCTCTCCCAGACACTTTTCCCGTCCAGATTGTGGGTCGTTCCCTAAATTTTAGTGGTTTGAGCCAAAATGATTACTTGCTCTCTAGGCCGAGAGCAACATTTTGGAATACCTGAGAGCCTTTTATCTTCAAGGCTTTATTTATCTAAAATTCTTTAGAAAATGTTCTCTGAAAAAATTTTTGAGAACGAGAGATTAAGGTCGATCGTATCGAAAGTAATCGACAATTTTCAGTTCACCGGAAGACTGACCGCGCACGTAGTAGACCTCCCCGCAACGGTAGATATACATAAATCGGCTGTTAGACGTTTGTTTAGATAGCACTTATGGGCGAATCGAAGGCCTATCTCTCCCTCGACAATGAGGTGTTGGAAAGTACCAAAGAAGCCGCCTTCATTAGGATCACGGGTGGGATATTATTTGAGAAATGATATTGATCCTCTATTCAGCTGCTGGGAAAGGCAGAAGGCCAAAGTCGTTGAAAAATGGACAAGAGGTGGCGCTCGGAGGACGACTGGATCCTGACACATTGATCGTCAATGTGAGCAAGATTGGAAAGGTAGGTTTCGATTGAACACCATCCCAAGGGCTATAACTTATCCCCCCCCTCTCCCCATCTGATTATTCGTCACCGTTTGGCAACCGTGAACGTCACCCGTTCAATTCCCGGATATTGTTCAAATACGTTACTCGGTTTTTGCGATAACTTAATTCGCGGCCCGCCGCGCAGGTTTGAACTGCTGGTAATATGATAGTTTACATCTCCTTATCCCAAACAAAATGGCAGAAATCGACATGAAAATCGGAGAGTTTCACCAGTTTGTTTTCAGAACGCTAGATACAACATCGTGGAGGGTGACCAAGTGATTTTGGATGATCTGAACGGGCGGTGCCTTACTTTCAACCCACGCGGCGTTACCTTCATTGATGCGCTGGCCCTTCCTAAGCCAAAAGAAGGCGATCAGCTGTTTACGATCGGTGTTGTGCAACCGGTGCGTTTATAATTGCTTACACAAGCAGTGTCACTGGTGTTTATCAAAGGGTTATGAAGTCAAAACCAACTCGGCTCAAAACTGTTCGGGGATCGATGTTATTGGCCAAAAAAGGAATTAGGTACTTCGTAAAAAGATCAAAAATGTATTTCTTTTGACGAAAAATTTGACAAAAGCGAAATGCATTTGGCACGAAAGTCAATTTTCCGGCCCTGTTGGAAGACGATACATGTCGTAATGCCCTTTCTGGCACTCAATTTATCAAACGCGTGACTCCGGTGCCGATTTTCATAATGAAAATAATTAATTACATTATTAATTTCTTCTTTTAATTACAATAATTTTGGGACGAGGGGGAAATAACGGGGGTGCACTCAAAGTTTTGTTAGAATAAAAATCTTTTTAATTATGGTTTTTTTCGGGCTATAAAAAAGCTCGTTGTGAATTTTTCGGCCCTCTATCGAATGGCATTTTGAAAATATCACTGAAAAGCATTGCGCAACCGTGCCTTCATGCATTTAGGCAATTACGCTCGGCAACCAAAAAAAACCACAACAGTTTTTCAGGTCACTTGGCTGATCAAGAGAACTGTGCCAGAGGGCGAGTACCCCGTCATTCCTCCCGAACTGGAAGTCTCCGACAACCGCATCCGCCTGAGAGGCTCCTACGAGACTGCCGCCCTGTACAGCTCTTTTGCCCCCGATAAGAAGCTGCGCCAGGAGAAGCGGTAAATAAATAAGAGAGAAGGGGAATTTTTGGATTCTGAGCAGGGCGCTAGGAATCCTTTCAACCCAAGCTATCCTTTTAACCTCCTACCATGCTATTTCAGCAACAACGGCTGCGACTATTTCGATCTGCCCCAGCGCCCACGGGAAGCTCTGCGCGAATCTTGCGCAATCAAGATCGTCATGAATGGGATTCCTATGCTCTACAGACATCTGTTTAACACGAAGGTAATTTGCGGATTTCGGCAATAAAAACCCGATATTAATAGAATCGCAAGTTCGAGCAGACTGCCATCTACTAATGTTGCCGTATTTCGATGTCATGGGTATTTTCTGGGGGAATTTAAGTTTTTTTTTTGAAAAACAGGTTGCACCCAGCAGGCTATTTTAATTTCAATTCCAAACCAAACGAGGAAAAATTCAAGGAAATAAAAACTTTATCTGGAATTTTTACTATATCTTTTTTCCTAAACCAATTTTCGTTTGGACTAGCAAGTGCTATTCTGCCGCCTAAAATTTGCAAAGAACACTTTCTGACTCAATGAACCTCCGATTTACAACCCGTATTACGTTCACCAAGGGTCAAAAAAAGATCTGTGAAGCGCTATGGCTATGGCTGGCTGTCTCGTTGTCGCGTTTCCTCAAAATATCCGGTGCCTGGGACGCAAATTACGGGGTACGCTTTTTCGATGATTGCGGTAACCTTATATTTCCTCTTTTCAAACCCCAGGGACTTGCACATCCGAACACATTTCGAAATCCCCACGAAAAGCTGCCGTTGAATGCGGCCCCAAAGCGGTTTAAGGCACGTATTTTGAATAACGATTTCGACTCCCACAAATCCCACACTTCCTTGCCGCCGAGCTCTTCCGAGATTTCTTCACTCTTAGCGCCGCTGGAGCCCGCAGTGTCTCGTTTCAAAAACGTATTCAGCACACATTCATCATATTTGTAGCTTTCCACCCAAACTTCCCATCAGGGTCAATTAAGGCCCGTTTTTGCGCTCGGGGCTTCCCGTGTATAGGACGACATGCTGCAAGAGGGCGCTAAGAGTAGCAAACCGGAAACCGACTTAGCCGGGCGATGTTGTCTGTCTTTTTCTGACTTGGTCAATCAAAGTACTTTTGATTCATAAGATAAGATAATTCTGGGGCCCATAACATAAAAAATCAAGCCAATGGGATGATACGCAAACGTGCATCCAGCCAGCCACCCGGTCTTAATGGTCATTTTTGGACAACCTAAATAAAAGCTAATTAGAAAAGCCAAATTCGAAAATACCTGTGGAAAGTCCTTTGGCTGCAACCTGTCTCGCTCGCCTGTATCTACCTTTACTTTGACTTTCTCGTCTTATGTATGTCGTTGCTTCGTTATTATAATATTTCGCAAATACCTCTAACGGCATACGATTTAATCATTCGCTTTAATTCCGATCTAGCCTTCTCCAACGCAGTTTGTATAATTTATGCTGTGCTTTTCTTGAATAAATGTTTTCGGCTGTCGCATTGCAATGAAACTGCAAAGAACGCGCCATCACACCCACCACAGAGTAGAATGACAACGTTGCACTCGCCATACGCGCAAAAGACTTGATCTTTAGGAGGACACCTTGCCCCTCGGATCTTCATCAGGTCCACCAAGACTCCCCCGAAAAAAACCTGCGCAACTTAATTGAACACGCTGAGACAGAGGGACAATCATTCTTCTAAAATCGTTACCTCCCAAATCATTACTTATAACATCTTTATTTCTAAATCCCTTACTTTTAAAGTCGTTACCTGAAAATCATTACCTCTGAAAGTCATTACTTCTAAAACTTATTACTTGCAAAAATCAAAACCTCTAAAAAGTTACTTCTAAATGCTGATACGTCGGATTATCAGTTTTATAGTTTTCCTATTTACGCTTAGAATATATATATTTTCGAAGTAATGATCTTAGAAATAATGGTGGGTAGCCGGTGAGACAGATATATCGAACCACGTTCCGGACGCCCTAAAAAACTAGAGAAAGCGTGCACCAAACGGGTTCTTTCAAAGTTCCAAAACCAGCAGACCTTAAGCATCCTGGAAATTTTTTTGAAAACTTTCAAACAGTATTTTGCCTAAAAACGCCTATTTTTGCAGGATACTGCACTAACTTTTTGTGACCCAGGAATACGGTAGAATGCTTTGAAAAGCCTCAAAATTGTTAGTGCAGTATTTTGCATAAAAACGCCTATTTTTGCAATTAACTGCACTAACTTTTGGTGACCCAGGAATACGGTAGAATGCTTTGAAAAGCCTCAAAAATTGTTAGTGCAGTATTTTGCATAAAAACGCCTATTTTTGCAGGATATTGCACTCAACTTTTTTGTGACCCAGGAATACGGTAGAATGCTTTGAAAAAGCCTCAAAATTGTTAGTGCAGTATTTTGCATAAAAACGCCTATTTTTGCAGGATACTGCACTAACTTTTTGTGACCCAGGAATACGGTAGAATGCTTTGAAAAGCCTCAAAAATTGTTAGTGCAGTATTTTGCATAAAAACGCCTATTTTTGCAGGATACTGCACTAACTTTTTGTGACGCAGGAATACGGTAGAATGCTTTGAAAAGCCTCAAAAATTGTTAGTGCAGTATTTTGCATAAAAACGCCTATTTTTGCAATTAACTGCACTAACTTTTGTGACCCAGGAATACGGTAGAATGCTTTGAAAAGCCTCAAAATTGTTAGTGCAGTCTTTTGCATAAAAAACGCCTATTTTTGCAGGATACTGCACTAACTTTTTGTGACCCAGGAATACGGTAGAATGCTTTGAAAAGCCTCAAAAATTGTTAGTGCAGTATTTTGCATAAAAACGCCTATTTTTGCAATTAACTGCACTAACTTTTTGTGACCCAGGAATACGGTAGAATGCTTTGAAAAGCCTCAAAAATTGTTAGTGCAGTATTTTGCATAAAAACGCTTATTTTTGCAATTAACTGCACTAACTTTTGTGACCCAGGAATACGGTAGAATGCTTTGAAAAGCCTCAAAATTGTTAGTGCAGTATTTTGCATAAAAACGCCTATTTTTGCAATTAACTGCACTAACTTTTGTGACCCAGGAATACGGTAGAATGCTTTGAAAAGCCTCAAAAAATTGTTAGTGCAGTATTTTTGCATAAAAACCGATTTTTGCAATTAACTGCACTTAACTTTTGTGACCCAGGAATACGGTAGAATGCTTTGAAAAGCCTCAAAATTGTTAGTGCAGTATTTTGCATAAAAACGCCTATTTTTGCAATTAACTGCACTAACTTTTGTGACCCAGGAATACGGTAGAATGCTTTGAAAAGCCTCAAAAATTGTTAGTGCAGTATTTTGCATAAAAACGCCTATTTTTGCAGGATACTGCACTAACTTTTTGTGACGCAGGAATACGGTAGAATGCTTTGAAAAGCTCAAAATTGTTAGTGCAGTATTTTGCATAAAAACGCCGATTTTTGCAATTAACTGCACTAACTTTTTGTGACCCAGGAATACGGTAGAATGCTTTGAAAAGCTCAGAATTGTTAGTGCAGTATTTTTGCATAAAACGTCTATTTTTGCAGGATACTGCACTAACTTTTTGTGAGCTAGGAATACGGTAGAATGCTTTGAAAAGCTCAAATTGTTAGTGCAGTATTTTGCATAAAAACGCCTATTTTTGCAATTAACTGCACTAACTTTTTGTGACCCAGGAATACGGTAGAATGCTTTGGAAAGCTCAAAATTGTTAGTGCAGTATTTTGCATAAAAACGCCTATTTTTGCAATTAACTGCACTAACTTTTGTGACCCAGGAATACGGTAGAATGCTTTGAAAAGCCTCGAAATTGTTAGTGCAGTATTTTGCATAAAACGCCTATTTTTGCAATTAACTGCACTAACTTTTGTGACCCAGGAATACGGTAGAATGCTTTGAAAAGCCTCAAAATTGTTAGTGCAGTATTTTGCATAAAAACGCCTATTTTTGCAGGATACTGCACTAACTTTTGTGACGCAGGAATACGGTAGAATGCTTTGAAAAGCTCAAAAATTGTTAGTGCAGTATTTTGCATAAAAACGCCTATTTTTGCAGGATATTGCACTAACTTTTGTGACCCAGAATACGGTAGAATGCTTTTGAAAGCTCAAAAATTGTTAGTGCAGTATTTTGCATAAAAACGCCTGGTTTTGCAGGATACTGCACTAACTTTTGTGACGCAGGAATACGGTAGAATGCTTTGAAAAGCCTCAAAAGTTGTTAGTGCAGTATTTTGCATAAAAACGCCTATTTTTGCAATTAACTGCACTAACTTTTGTGACCCAGGAATACGGTAGAATGCTTTTGAAAAGCTCAAAAATTGTTAGTGCAGTATTTTGCATAAAAACGCCCTATTTTTGCAATTAACTGCACTAACTTTTTGTGACCCAGGAATACGGTAGAATGCTTTGAAAAGCTCAAAAATTGTTAGTGCAGTATTTTGCATAAAAACGCCTATTTTTGCAATTAACTGCACTAACTTTTGTGACCCAGGAATACGGTAGAATGCTTTGAAAAGCCTCAAAAATTGTTAGTGCAGTATTTTATATAAAACGCCTATTTTGCAATTAACTGCACTAACTTTTTGTGACCCAGGAATACGGTAGAATGCTTTGAAAAGCCTCAAAAATTGTTAGTGCAGTATTTTGCATAAAAACGCCTATTTTTGCAATTAACTGCACTAACTTTTGTGACCCAGGAATACGGTAGAATGCTTTGAAAAGCCTCAAAATTGTTAGTGCAGTATTTTGCATAAAAACGCCTATTTTTGCAATTAACTGCACTAACTTTTGTGACCCAGGAATACGGTAGAATGCTTTGAAAAGCCTCAAAAATTGTTAGTGCAGTATTTTGCATAAAAACGCCTGGTTTTGCAGGATACTGCACTAACTTTTTGTGACGCAGGAATACGGTAGAATGCTTTGAAAAGCCTCAAAAATTGTTAGTGCAGTATTTTGCATAAAAACGCCTATTTTTGCAATTAACTGCACTAACTTTTTGTGACCCAGGAATACGGTAGAATGCTTTGAAAAGCCTCAAAAATTGTTAGTGCAGTATTTTGCATAAAAACGCCTATTTTTGCAATTAACTGCACTAACTTTTTTGTGACCCAGGAATACGGTAGAATGCTTTTGAAAAGCCTCAAAAATTGTTAGTGCAGTATTTTGCATAAAAACGCCTATTTTTGCAATTAACTGCACTAACTTTTGTGACCCAGGAATACGGTAGAATGCTTTGAAAAGCCTCAAAAAATTGTTAGTGCAGTATTTTGCATAAAAACGCCTATTTTTGCAATTAACTGCACTAACTTTTTGTGACCCAGGAATACGGTAGAATGCTTTGAAAAGCCTCAAAAATTGTTAGTGCAGTATTTTGCATAAAAACGCCTATTTTTGCAATTAACTGCACTAACTTTTGTGACCCAGGAATACGGTAGAATGCTTTGAAAAGCCTCAAAAATTGTTAGTGCAGTATTTTGCATAAAAACGCCTATTTTTGCAGGATACTGCACTAACTTTTTGTGACGCAGGAATACGGTAGAATGCTTTGAAAAGCCTCAAAAATTGTTAGTGCAGTATTTTGCATAAAAACGCCTATTTTTGCAATTAACTGCACTAACTTTTTGTGACCCAGGAATACGGTAGAATGCTTTGAAAAGCCTCAAAAATTGTTAGTGCAGTATTTTTGCATAAAACGCCTATTTTTGCAATTAACTGCACTAACTTTTTGTGACCCAGGAATACGGTAGAATGCTTTGAAAAGCCTCAAAAATTGTTAGTGCAGTATTTTGCATAAAAACGCCTATTTTTGCAATTAACTGCACTAACTTTTGGTGACCCAGGAATACGGTAGAATGCTTTGAAAAGCCTCAAAAATTGTTAGTGCAGTCTTTTGCATAAAACGCCTATTTTTGCAGGATACTGCACTAACTTTTTGTGACGCAGGAATACGGTAGAATGCTTTGAAAAGCCTCAAAAATTGTTAGTGCAGTATTTTTGCATAAAACGCCTATTTTTGCAATTAACTGCACTAACTTTTTGTGACCCAGGAATACGGTAGAATGCTTTGAAAAGCCGCAAAAATTGTTAGTGCGGTATTTTGCATAATGACGTCTATTTTTGTAATTATTTGCAGCTATTTTTTGCAATCTAATAGTAATAAACTTTATTTTTAATCCAAATTTAGCCATTTTCGGCGTGATTTTGTACAATTTATCCTCCGGACCATCAGCAAATACAGTAGACACAAACCGGATTGGAAAATTTTACGGAAAAACACAAAAATTGTCAAGGAAAATCAATGCTATACCCGTAATTCACATAATGCGGCCGGTCTCGAGAGCAGGAAAATACTTGAGGACCGCGAGGTCAGAGAGATTGGGTGGTGAATATTGCCAAAATCAAGGGGTGAAACCTTACAAATTCAGAATACATAGAATGTTATAAATCGGTGCGTACGCAGGATTTCAGTGGACGCTTATACGCTGTGGGCGAGGTAGAAATGGTTGAGGAGGCGGAAGATGGGCCTCGGCCGGAATCGCGGCAATCCTAAAGGTATATATTAATTTTTTTAAGGTTGCCTGGCTAAAATCACTTAAAAAACACGGTGCACATGGCTGTAACTTACTACTTCGCGACGGCTTCATCCTGGATTCAAAAAGGCATGTTTTATTCTGGCTTTTGCCTTGTTAGGTTTTGTTTTGTGGGCAATGTAATTTCGTTTTTGAGTTTTATGACCCGTGTTTTGGTTCTTTGGCGTTGGCGGGGGAGCCTGGCCTAATTTTTCCCTAGAAAATCAGGAACTTTTGGGAACGTGACAGTCAGTGTTTTATTGCGTTTTTCGTAAACTTTAACTGGGTAAAAGCGTCAGAAATTTACTAATTTGCACAAGTGGTCGTTTTTGTCGAAAAAACTCCATTTCTGTTTTTTTTGGTAAAAGATTGTAAAGATTTTATGTTTAGAAAAAGTAAAAAAAAGCTTAGAAACATTTCCTGGCTTAAAAAAAGTTACACGACGATGCAAGAAGGCATATATTACATTTTCGCCGATGTTTCGTTTTGGATTTGGTAAATCAGTGTTTATGCTGGTTTTGCCTTATGACTTAGCGATTTAAAAGTAATCTTAAACTTGTTTAAAATGTTTTTTTCAAAAACATTTGTTTACAACTTACACTATGATCCGACAAGTTCATCTTGGAAAACTCAGGGCTCTTCGCCCGGACGTGGGCCATACAATCATCGAGGTGCGAGGCGAGCAGATCGCACACTTTCAGGCTGTCCGACAGCATCGTGTCGTACACCTGTAATTCGGTAAATTAGTCCAATTCAGGAAGTTGGGTTACCTTTATAGCTTTTAGAAGCATTCTTTTTAATTTTTCGGCGTATTTCGATTAATTAAAGTGCTAGTCAAGCGAAAAAGGGAGACAAAATTCGTGAAATGTCATGCGCGCAAGGCGTAACGATGTCCATAGTAACGCCTCGTACCTCCTGCTCGAAAAGACAATTCCGCAGCGGGTCCTTCGGTTTTTGCGGGATTTTGGCGTGCTTGGGGATCGATCTGAAAACTAGTAGTTTTCTTAAAATCGGGAAAAACCTTGCGACAAGCGGTTGGTCATCTGCGATCGCTTTTAGGGATTCTACCAACATCATTGGGTCCTCTTCAACGAGAGCATCAAAGGAATATGCCTAAATATTATTGTATTTTACGATTAAGTGTATTTTTACCTTATTTTGCGCGGCCAGCTTCTTCTCCTTTTTGCTGAGTTGTGGGGGAAGTGTACTCGAGGTATCCTGAAAATGCTATATGTTATTTTTATAGTGTTTCTTTCCTTTAATTAGCTATTTTTGCTTGCGAAGGATAGATTCTTACGTAGCGCTTAAAAATTCAATAAAGTTTTGTTTAAGAATAGACAAATAGCCTTCAATTCTGTTTTTCGAGGTATAACTTTCAAAAAAAAACGCTGACCTTCTTGCCGCTCTTGGCCGACTTGTGCGCCTTCACCCGGTCGGTGAACGACATCTTCCGGGGTTTTGAGGGCTTCTCAAGGGTTTCCTGAAAAAGTATCGATCATTCAAGCGGAGGTTTATTTAATAATCACGATAATTTACTTAATAAATAGATACCTGAGATGGTATTACCTTTACCTAATGCGTAATAAATCCATGACACACAAAAAACCCAAACCAGCTGACCAAGAGTTGGGCCCCCGGCCTCGATCGAGTTGGCTGGCCGGGGTGAAAAAGCTCTCAAGCCGGACAGGGTTCGAGAGGGTCGTTTGGTGGTTGAGGGGGGAGGAAAAGCCGTGGAAATCGAGGGGGGGAAGGACTCCCGGAAAACAACTCCACCACCACCGCCTATTGCTCCCCATTTGTCAGGGCTTTACGGAGACTTTGACTCGATTGACGACTCGGCATTGAAGATTTGATTTTGGTAAAGTCGAAATATTTAAGAATTCGCGCAAAAAGGTTAGAAATTTGTGTTCTGGCGGAAAATATTTTAAAAGCATCATTTCCATACTTTTGACATTTCTATTCCTAAAGGATTTCTGCTAGATTGCCTGTCGTAATTGGTGCCGACCGCTCGAATCTGATCCATTAACTTTAAAGGTTTTCGCAAGCCAGAACAAGGGATTTTTTTGCTATTGATTTTTCAGCAACTTACGGCGCCTGCAATTCTCGGCACTGTATTTGTTGCGTAATCGATTACGGCTTTTAACGCGCAGAAAATACAACAGAAATTCATAGCCAAAATCTCGAAAATCAAGCCTTGCTTGTGCCTTTAAAATTTATTTAGCACCGTGATAATCGACCCTTTCCGTTGACTAGGCCTAGACAGCTACGCCCCATCCAAAAAACAGTATTTTTCCAATATTGTTTAAGCGTATTTTGGAGGATACCTAGCTGTCGAGACCTAGTCAGGAGGCACGTAGATTTTGGGGCTTGCTAGCCCCCTTTAAAATGTAACAGCATTTACGCGGTCTTTTAATGCAAAAGCACTCAATTTTACCTGTAAATTAAGCTTAAAATCATCGTGTGATTGTGTGCCGTTGATCTTCTTCTTCGACCGGCGGAACAGGGATAGAAATGGACTCGAGGAGGGGGCTCGTTGTTGGCGGGTGGTTGTCTCTACGTCACTCATCTCGTTTCGAGTCTAAAAATCGTGATTTTAAAAGAAGTTAAAATAGAAAAAAGACTGAATAATGCATAAAATTTTGACAGTTTTGAAGGCAATTAATTGGCAGAGATCATTTAGGAGCGTTTTCGGCAACAATAATGGGTATCAACAATTTTTAAGGTAAAAGCGTTGGTAGTCGATCTAGCAAGGGAGTTTCTAGGCTTAGAAATGTAAGGGATGGCTAGCAGAGATTCTTGGTGATTAAAGGAAGCAGAGATTTCTCCAGCTTAGCCGATCTAACAGGAAGCTAACCTACGTTTAAAGTGCCCTCCAGCCGATTCCCATCCCTCTTTAACCCCAGCCTACAACCCGGTTGAGCCGCGGAAAATTGCTGGTAGCCGCGGCGGCAGTCTCGACCGGAGTCTCACAAAATAATTCCCACACAATTCAATGGACCCAACCAGTCCCAAGGACACGAAATTCACTACGCGGCAGGCCTATTATTTCCGAGACGCTCCCCTGTCGTACGTCGCGGAATGGCCGTTTTTTACAAAAGGCGTAGAGAAGAATTTGTCAAACCTGGGCAATTTATGTAAGTCAAGCAAGACTTATCCTTGTCAAAGACCGTCACGTACCATTTAAAGGTACCCGGAAGACGAAAAACTATTGGAACTAATCAATAATTTTTGGATGAATTTTTATGAATCTGCCAGGCTTTAAAAATTGGCCGCTCGAGAGAAAATTCAAATTTCCATGTTTCCTTTTCGGCTAACCGGCTGGAGGCAAGGCGTCAAGGAGGGTGGAATTTGTCGTATTTGTACGTCTCTCTCTCTCTCTCTCTTCCTCTCTCTCTCTCTCTCTCTCTCTGGCTGTGTGTGTATGGTTGTGAGGGGCAAGAGGAGGACCTTCGCAACTCGTCCCCCCTGCTTGGGCAAATATTCGAATTCGAAGGCCATATTTGGAAGAGGGGGGTCGACACGGAGGAGAAGGTGATTCTGGTATCGCCCTCGATCAAGTTGACAAAGGCTGGTGTTTGGAATTTTTAAGGTATGAAAAATAGGCAAAAACTTTAGAAATTTAGCGATGCCCCTACTGCTTCACTCAAATTTAGAAGAAAATACGTAATTAATGAGACTTAAGAAGATTACGGTAACGCGCGTGACATCCGGAGCGCCGTAGATAAAAATAAACATAAAACTGGTCACAATTCCAGAGGTTACGGCTTTACCGTACCTACCGGAACCTCAATGCCCCGAAAAGGCCCGCTTTTTGCTGAACAAATCCACAAAAAAGGGGTGAAAAAGCTGCGTTATCTGCCCGGGGAATGTTCGTCAATGGCCGGGCGGGGGGTGACTCAGCCCGAAACGGCAAAGTTTTTCCGAGCTACACCTCGTAACACCTCGATTTTCCGGTGTTTTGGCGCGTGCTGTGAAAGTTGTACGCTCATGGAATGCCAGAATTGTGAAATTTCCATAAAAACTTTAAAAACCCAATTTATTGGCCTGACTAAGCCTATGCTTAACCTAAGCCTAAGTCGAAGCCAAAGCCTAGGATTCACCTAAGCCTACGCATAAGCCTAAGCCTAAATAGAAGCCTACTCTTAGCCTGAACCTAAGCGTGAATCTGAGCCTGAGCTTAAGCCTGAGCCTAACCGAAGCTTAAGCCTAAACGAATGCCTAAGCCTAAGCCACAGCCAGCGAGTATCGTAAATTGCACTAAAAAATTTCGGTTTTAAAGGTATCTAAAAACCGTTTATATGATCGTTAAATGGGACAAAAAGTAGTGTTTTGGCGTGTGTTGCCAACATTGTTGTCGGAGGCATTGCCTCCCGGAAATCGGCTTCTCCCCCCCCCCCCAAGCTATAAAATCCGGGGGGTGAATCCCTCCCCCCGGGCGCCAAATTGGATTCTACCAACGATGGGGGTCAACTTTTAGGCGCGCACCCCGGATTCGCACACTTGCAAAAAAAGTAATCCACCCCGGAGTCGAAACACGAGAGAAAAAACTAGAAGGTAGCATAGCACAGATCTTGCAGGATCCAGGCGAACTAGCAGAGATCATTTGATGGCTCGTTTGATCAGAGCTCTATAAAAAAGGGCAGGCTAGCAAAGATCTTTGGGGACCTCAGGCGTCCGGCAACGTGTAGGGCTTGACAAGCTGTCACGGACTATGTTTCGAAACCGCTCTTTTGCAACCGGGAATGCTAGCAGAGATCCTTTGAAACGCCTGGCAAGACGATTCGAACAAGGTAGGCTGGCAGACACCATTTAGGAAATGAGCAGGTAGCAAGCAAACTTTAGGATTTTGACAATTTTAAATGATTCTTTAGGAATCAACCCGCTAGCCACTATAGCTACAACTTGGGAAACGGCTGTACGTACGGAACCTAGTTTTATTTTGCTTACGATTACGCTATGAAAATGCACGAAACGGCTAGAAGAATTCCCCAAGTTCCACCTACTTTCTCAGGCCTTGGCTGGGCTGAGGCTGACCCAGATTCAGATGACTTTTTTCTTGCCTGGGACTGTGGCTATGCCTCTAGGAAATAACTGAAAATTCATAGCTATTCGAGCAAAGGAATGGGAGGTGGAAAGTTGCGGAAAGTTATGGGGTCAAGGCGTCGGAATCTTGAGGCAGGGGAGGGACAATCTCGTGTCTAGCTGCTAGATGGCTATCGCTAAAGAGATTTATTAGTGTGTGGGGCAGATGAATCTCGAGGGATCCTGGAAAGATGAAAGATGAGGATTGCGCAACGGGAGGAGGTATCAAAAAGGTGGTTTTTAAAGGGGCCAGGAAGCTTCAAATTAGGCCGTCTACACATCACGGTATCTTTGGCCCTCTCTTTCCCAGTTCCTCTCACTCTCTCTCTCTCTCTTTCTCTCGCTCGCTCGCTCGCTCGATCTCTCCCTACCGTACCCTAACCCGAAATTCAGTAAGCAAAAAGCAACCCATGTACTCCGCTCTCAGATTTGCATGACCATGGCCCTAGGCGACGCGTGTGGCCCATAAATCGTGTGGATGACCCCGGGAGGGCCCATTAGGACTCCGGGGCCCTTCCCCCATTCGCCTGGGGCTGATCTTTACTCTTTATCTGTCGCTTCTCTCTCTCTCTCTCTCTCTCTCTCTCTCTCTCTGCCCAACTCTCCATACAATTGGGGCGCCTTCTAGCATGAGGGCAAATATTTAATGGACTGGCAAGGAAGGGTTATGGATTTTAAGCGTCAGATCGAGAGATAGAGAGAGAGAGCGTGCGAGATAGCGTGAGAGACAGAGTGAAAGCAAGAAAGAAAGAAACGGAAAAACGGTAGAAAAAAGTGTCTTGATTTAAAGAAATCTTGAAGGCAAAGAACCGCTGAAATCGGAAATCCATGACGCGTTTCAAAACTTTTCCGTGATGCCACGTTTTTCCAAATAGGGCAGGCGGCGTGTTGTATGGATGATGGGGCTCGTTGAGGGCCACTGACTCATCCCCTTAAAAGGCAAAAAGATCGACTTTTCGGCCCTGAAACGCTCGGCACCTTTGCCTGGAAGGTGAACACAACCTGGCAGGCTGGTAAGGCCATCGGCAGGACCGGAAAAAAGACGCTTGGGATAAGGTATTATGTAAAATTAAAATGCCATTGAGATACTAGTTTAATTTCAGGTCTTGCCGTTTTAATTTCCTGACTTGAAACGGCGGTGAAAGCGTGGACTACGGGTGCGCTTTCAGTATCCGAAATTTCCAAAACCCTCCAAAGATAAAACAATGTAGACGTGAATGAAGCGGAATTTGGACAATCGGATGCGATTTCGCTTCTTTTCACTCGCGGCGCTTTTTGATCGCCTTCCGCCCATTTTCCCATCCATAAACATGGGAAATATATCGAAAAGCATCGACGAAAAGTGGCTGAAAAAAACCCAAGACA